GTCTGGAGACATCTGTGGCCATCCTGGCTGGGGGGAGGGGAGGTGCTACTGATGACAGCAGGGTAGACACAGATGCCACCACACAGCCTGCAAGCATGAGTGGTCCCACGGCAAAGAACTATTTCTGGTGTCCCTAGTAGGCAGGTTGAAAAGCCCTCATTTTTGTTTTGTTTTTGTCTTACTGTGAATGAGGAAACTGAAGCCAAAAGGCTCCAGTTAGTTGCCTGGGGTGACATAGCTTGTCCATGGGAGAGTTGATACTGAAACCCAGTCTTCCCAGAGGCAAAGGACATGGGTTGCATGTAGCATGTCTCCACACATTCTGCTCACTCCTGTCATCAGACGAGGTCTGACAGTTCCCCCCGAAGAGTAGATGGGGACCTCATCTTGGGTCTGGGCAGGTTCTTGAAGATTCATCATAGGAAAACACTTCAGGATGAGAGGCATAGGCAGAGTTACTGACTTTTTATGCAGAGTTAGAAAGTCAGAGAACAAGGGAAGGGACATTAGCATGAGTCACTAGTGGGGACACAGTTCTGCTGGAGATGATCTAACTGGCCCACTCACAAAAGAATGATGCCAGGTTTTATGGAGGGGCTAAGGTGGGCCAGGGTCTGGGTCATCATTACCTTGTTCTGGTTTTGCAAGGTGGCTCCAGAGAAGTCCTCCCCCTTACTCTGTGAGGTGCTTGTTTCTGCTGGGCGCAGTCTCAGTCTTGTGGAGGCTTTGCTGGAATCCAAGATGGCTGTAGATTTAGAGACTCCTGGGTGCTCGCTGGTAGTTGAATGCACCTGCTAATGTTTTATCCTGGTGTCCCCAGTCTGGGCGATGAGATAGGTTCTATCAACTTAGGGCCAGCTTTGAGACAGTCCCTGAAGGGTTAACCTGCCTCTCTCTATGCAGAGGTGAGCAGGGATCTGACTCACAGTTGTCAGGCAATAAAGGAGACAGATGCAAAATGAAGGTCCAGCTCTGCCCTGCTTCTAGATACCCACTGAGCATCTGTATGTCCAGTGAACAGTTACTTTTTTAAAAAAGCAAAAATAGCTTTTAAGTGCCTGACTTGGAAGAAAACACAAGTCGTGCTTCTAATGAGTAACAGGTTAAGGGCCCAGAAGTTTGTTTGTCTTCTGACCCTGCAGTGGTTTCTGTCTCATTTCTACCTCGTTTGGAGGCATGTGGGAGGCTCTGGAGATCTCGACTCTGCCACTCACCCATGAGGACCTCGAATGGTTATGTCCCCTCTCAGAACCCCAGTTTCTTCTGCTCCGCAGATGGTGGACTGACAACATTGGTGAGCCAAGCAAGGCACATCCATGGTGCAGTGCTGTGGAGACACGGTTGACACTGTCCAAATGGGCCTGACCCTCAGTGTCCCTGAGACCTGGCTGCCCTGGCTTGGCCCTTTGGTTGCAGACCATGGACGATGCGAGGGGACCATGGAGGCTGGTGTGGGGCTCTGGGGATCCAATAGGAGAGGCTGTTTGCTAATTGGTTGGGACAGACCCTTTAGGCTGCGTGGCCAAGATGGGCATTTGATTACACATGGGCCACATGTCAGCTCGAGCAGAGGTCGCTTGGGTCAGCAAGGAGCAAGCCCGAAGAGCTAGTCTTCTGTTACTCCCATCTTACCCAGCTCACTCTGGCTTTGCAGAAATTAAACACATCTGAAGCAAAGCTGAGCCAAGAAAGGAAGTGAAAGAAGTGCTGGTGCTGAGCACCTACCTGGCTCAACTCAAGAGCTTGGCTGCAGCATCCCTGTAATTCCACTTGATCTTAGCCAAAAGGCTGAGAAGAGATAGCTTCCCTGTAATTCCCACAGCTTTGCAGAACTGGGTTATCATTTGGCCCGATTCTCCAGATAAGAAAACTGGGGCCTAGTTTTCTGGGTACACACAGTACCACTTTCAGGAGCTTATTTACACGGCCACCCCACCAGAAGGCAGGTAAGTGGGATTTTGGGTCCTACATCCATGCCCGATTTGTGAAGCCAGGCAACTCTCAAAACTCAAAAGCAAAAAATGGGAGGAGGAGTCTGCCTCAGAGGGCACAGTCCTGCTAAGGGTGCTAATCAGGCCTCTCTGATAAGGTTTGGATCTGCAATATCCCCCAGGGCTCACATGCCAAGGCTTGCTCTCTGTCTGGCAGTGCTATGTGGAGGGGGCAGAAACTTCCGGAGCTGGGGCCTAGTGAAAGGAAGTAGATCATAGTGGGGGCATGGCCTTAAGCTAAGCCCTCCCCCTCCTGGACACCATGAAGGGAGTGGTTTGTTCTGCCACACTCTGGAGCATGATGGTCAGCTTCACTTCAGGTCCACAGTGGTGGAGCCAAAACCGTGGACTGGAACTTCTGAAACTATGAACCATCACAAACCTTTCCTCCCTTTAAATTTTTTGTTGGTTTTTTATTTTTTTTGTTGGTGGTGGTACTGAGTTGAACCGAAGGACTTTTCACTGAGCTGCATCCTCAGCCCTTTTTATTTAGAAATGGACCTTGCTAAGTCACTAAGTTCCCAAGGTGGGGCTTGAACTCACAATCTTCCTGCCTCAGCCTCACATGAAGTTTATTTTTAAGTTGATTTACTCAGGTATTTTGTCACAGTGATGAGAAAGCTGACTAACACAGCCTAAGCACAAATTGCTCTGGAGCTGCTACAGCATTTCTATCTCCTGCTACCTTCCTCACCTTGATGCCAGGGAACCACCTGCCCCATTTCTCTCCTGCCTTGCACCCTGTGATGGCACAAGCTCGGAGTGGGGGCCGCTTCCAAGCTGCCAGAGTGATAGGCTGGGCTGCACCACCTCCGGTCCAGAGGTGCTAATGATCTGATATCTCAGCTGGGGATTTAATTGATCCTCCAGCTCAGCAGGAAAAATTCCCTCCCTCAAATAACTGTTTTATCTTTCAACCCCAGCTACCACTTCAATTATACTAAGCCGTCATCAAGAGAGAATTAAAAAATAAAAGGCAAGAAATTGGAACCGGGCTGGGTGCCCGTTCCAGATCATTTGGAACACATTGCAGCTTATCGAGATTAAGTCTCACCGCTTGAGATCATCAGCGAGGGACATATGGGCCTCCTCTGCTAGCATGAGGCTGGCTTCAGGGGCATCTCACCCTCTGGCCTCCTATTTTCCTTCCCAGGCCATTGGTCCCCCTGCAAAAATGGTGCCTGGGAAAATTGATGCCTCCACAGTGGCTAAGGGACTGTGAGTTATCTCTAAGATCACCAGAATGACATTGTGCCAGCTGTGAACCTTCACAGAAAGACACCCGATGCTGCTCTGAGCCTGCCAGATTTAGAAGCTCCCGAAGCCAATGCCTGTGCTTTTACTTCTGGTATCAATTTGACTTTAATAACCCTGAAGGCTTTTATTTACTTCTAATATAAATTGTAAATATAACAACTGCACATATGTTTTTACTTTTAATATGAGCTTGACCTTAAGAAAATCGGAAAACCAGAAGTTAAAACAACAGAACTAATGTATGATTCAAAAGTAGTTTCAGTGCCAGCTATGGTGGTGCATGCACACCTGTGATTGCAGCACTCAGGAGGCTGAGGCAGGAGGATCACTATGAGTTTGAGGCCAGCCTGGGCTACATAGTGAGTTCAAGGCCAGCCTGAATCACACAGTGAGACCCTGTCTCAAAAAACAAAAAAAAATTTTTTTGTTTTAAAGAGAAAACATAGGATTAATAAGACATGATTTTATCAATTTATTTTTGAGTACTTTTGGGGGCAAATTCCCTGGATACCCCTACATCCAACAGAATAACCCTGTTCTGCCCACCTCACCCCTGAGGGCCACGTGTGTGGGCAAGTTCAGTGACTTGTGCTGTCTGGCTCAGTGCTCTTGGACCTTGAAGGCACTGAGGGGGCATTATTCCTACGTGGCCTTGGGATACAGAGGGGGATCTGACCCTGGCAGCTCCCAGGCAGGCGTGTCTGGGGCAGCCAAATGACACAAGCACAGGGGGAGACAGGTGGGGTTCAGAGCAGACTCTTTGTAACCTGGCAAGGTAACCTGAGCCAAGCACAGGCTCACCCACTCACTCGCCTTGCTCCTGACTCACTAGAAGTGCGTGTGCATGCTCATGCTCTCCCAGAGCAGCTCTGCTCACGGTGTCACACCTAAGTGGCCTGAAGGCTTACCGTGGGAATTGCTGGTTATCAGCTGTTCCTATAATGGAATACTCTACAGCAATGAAAATGACTGTATCTCTGCCACCTGGGAATCTGGATATATTTCACAAACATGTTGAGCAGAAGGCAGACACAGGGAGCATACCCTGAGTGATTCCTTTTATAAGAAGAACAGGGCAGTAGAATGAGTCTATGATGGGCTGGGGATTTTGCACAGTGGTGCCACCGCCTGCCTCGCAAGCACAAGGTCCCAAGTTTGATCCCCAGTACCAAAAAAAAACATGAGTCTATGGTTAGAAGTCCTCATTTTCTGAGAGTAAGGAAGGGTGTAGAAATGAAATGGAGCCCAGGATCGGGCTTGGGACCTGCTGGGCTCTACAACCAACTTGGGTGCTGGTTGTGCTGCCATGGTTAATGTGAGAATTCACTGAGCTCTGTGCTCTTTTCTGCCATCCCATTTGGAACAGCTTTATTGAGATGTAATTCGCATGCCATAGATGCCATGTAAAGCGCATGGTTCAGTGGTTGGTTTGCAGCACATTCACAGTTGTGTAACCAACACCACAAACTAAATCTGGAACATTTCTGTCATCTCAAGAAGAATGCAGGTCACTCTTTACTTGATCTGTGTTTCTCTGGCAACCTTAGGTCCTCTTTCTGAATGACTTACAAGTGCTTGGCTTGTACATGGAGTTAACAAACAAAGACTGTACTGAAATGGCCACAGAGCTCCCGGTAGGCGCTACACAGAGCTGTTCCCATGCTCGCTGGTCTGTGCACTGCTCACCGGCCTGGCCCCTGCAGGTGACCTCGGGACAGCTGGCCTTGAGAATGTCCTCCCGTGGAAGTGGCCTTTGTTTCTCATTTCTGCTGCCTGTGCCAAGTAACTGATGCCTTGCACAGCCAGAGGCTGCAGCAGGCTGGGTTCCCTGTGTGCCCAGGGTATGGCGTGCCCCGGACAATGTGCTCACATCTGGAAGGGATGATTTCTCTGGATTCTCCACGACCCCTGGAACCCAAGGGCTGCTGCTCTGGGTGAGTGGAAGGCATCTGTCCCATGGCCACTGTGTGCTCTGCCAGAGCCCAGAGCCCGGCCCCAGATGCTTCACAGATGTGGAAGGATGAGACGGGGAGGGAGCAGAGAGCTGTGCACTGGGGCCATTTAGGGATCCGACAGTGGCCTGGGCTGGGGGCACAGTGGGTGGAGAGGGGTCAAAGGAAGCATTGTTCTCATGGCTGGGCCCCAGTTAGAAACAGGCCACCTCCTTTTAGGAGATACTTCACCTAACCCTACAATAAGCCTGGAAGGCAAGAATCGCTCTCTGCTTTTCAGCTAGGCAAACTGAGGCTGGAAGATGAACCAAGCTAGGAGTTTAAAACAACCATGGCTTTGATATTGCTGTGGATTCATGGCTTGGCTGTTGGGCTCTGTGGGGCCATCCCTCTGTGTTCCTCCCTGAGCCCTGTCATGTGACTGGGGGTTTGGCAGCCACCTGGGCTGGGTCTGGAGTGGCCAGGGTGGCCTGGCCCTTGATGTATCTGTCCACAAAGGCTGTCATTGCTCAGCAGTACAGCCTGGACTTCCCCACTGCATGGCAGCTGTGATCAGAGGGGAAATGAGATGCTGATCTTCCAAGGCCTGGGCTCCTGGCTTTCTGTTGACCAAAGCAAGTCACAAGGCCAAGCCACGAGAAGGGGAAATCAGCCCAGTCCGAAGTGGTGAGATTGGCCTATGCCCAAGGGCTAGGAGGTAGTTTTGCAAGCCATGTGTCTAGCATGTAGTAGGTTCTCAAAAGTCATCTGCTGTTGCTGTGATTGTGGATGATGGGAAAGAGGAGGAGAAGGTGAGGGGTTGCCCAGGCGAAGTGGGGTGAGAGAAGTGGTCCAAGCAGAGGGTGCATCTCTGCTCAAGGCAGAGCTGAGAACCTGCTGCCCAGCAGAGTAGAAGGCAGAGCTGTGCTGAAGGGCTTCAGGGGTGGCAGAGTGGACGAGGCTCTGTGACATGAGGGGACCTGGGTTTATTCTGAGCCCAACAGATGCGCGCTGGAGCAGAGACCCATTGGGCCAGGCTGAGAGGACCATTGCTAGCTACAGGAGGTGGCAGGAGGAGCAAGGATGGAGTGGGGTTGGGGCATCAGTGGGAGGAGCCTGGGCTCAGTAGCGGCGGAGGAGGCAGGAGTCCTGGCGGGATGAGAGTGCTGACCAGGCACTGACAGCCAGGGAGGATGATGAAGGCAGCATCCTGGGCTCCTCCTGGGGAACAGGGTGGCTCCTGGAGGATCGTAGGACTGGCTTTGGGCACCAGACCGTGATGGCCCCAGTGGTGAGGATGTGTTTGAGGAACCATTGGAGCCTCCATGCCAGGACAATGGGACTTTGAGAATGAGGCCTTCCCTAGGCAGAGAGAAGGGAAAAGAGGCCCTTAGGGTGATTGCAGGCTGAGCAATTGGGTTTTCACATGGTAGTGATTAGGATTTAAAGTCAGAAGAGCACAGGGGCAAAGAATGAAGTTAATGAGTTAAGCTGGGGCCAGGATGTGAAGGGCTTTAAGGGCCCTGGCATTTGCACCAGATCTGTGAGCCACAGATTTCTAAGTTTAAACCAGGGAAATGATTTGGAGCAGGTCTTTTTGGGAAGGAAGCCAAAGCACTGAGGGGCCCCTTGGGTGCTGGGAAAAGCAAACACTAATGCTTTGAACCCGGATTCCCAAGCCCTCGAAATAAAGCAGCTAAGCCAACAGCTGTGTAGGGGAGCCAGGCATCGGGTGGGGAGTTCATTCACTATAGATATTTGCTCATGAGTTAAGATGATTATAGTATCTGGCTCAGAGGACTGAAGGTGCAAACAGCCTGTTGACTTCGGTCACTTGACAGCAAAAGTCTTAGAAAGATACAGAGCAGGCAGAGCCCTCTGAACACAGATGGGCAGTATTTAGCACCAGAAATATCTACCCTGCTCTGTCTGATAGCTGCATCTTGGGGAACTTTACATCTATCTTTCCTTCTGCCTTTCTTCTTCTTCTCTGTTCACTCCCATTATTCTGCGCATCCATTCTTCTTTTCATCCAACTTCCACCCACCCATTGTTCTATCTACTTATCCTCTCTGACCCTTCCATTCACCCATGTTCCCTTCCCTCTCTCCATTCTTCCATTCATGTATCACATTGCAGCTATTCATTCTTTCATCCAAATACTTTTACCCACCCATTATCCCACCTAATCATCATCTTTCCTGCCCATCCAACCTCCCATCAATCCACCCACTCATCCATCCTCTATCCATCTTCCCATCCACCCATCCTGCCATCTACTCATTCTCTCAGCCATCCAACCTTCTATCCTCCCATCCACCCATCCTTCCATCCATGCCCATTTTTATCCATTTATTCTTCCATCCACTCATAGTTCCATGCACCATCTTTTTGTTCTTCTGTCATTCTATCCATCCTCCCATGAGAACATCAAGCCACATTTTTATCCTTCCATCCACCCACACTTCCATCTTCCTCTATTTCCAACTTCCACCCATTTTCACCCACCCATCCTTTTATCTTTCCCTCCATCCATCAGTCACCCCCACCCATCTGATATTTGAGCTCCTGCTGCATTCCGAGTCCAGGGAGCAAGGTGGCCAAGGTCTCCACTCTTATGCAGCTGACCTCGAGCAGGAGACAGGCAATCAGCAAACCAGACAGGAAAATGCCTGTGTCGTATGTGCTGCAGAGAGAATCCAGACAGAGTAAAGAGAGTGCCTGGGTGGCTACAGTCCCTCAGCTGGGATGGCTGGAAGGTCTCTCACTCTGAGGATGTGGCATCTGAGGTGAAATCCACATGACAGAAGACAGACGTGCATTGATTTTTTGTGTGTGTGGAGGGAGATGGCATTCTTGGCAGAGCACATTTACAGCACGTGGGAGGGCCTGGCCCAGGAATGGGGTTGTATGGAGCCAGGGAGGCTAGTGAATAACCATGGGGTTGGGAAGGGGACTGGTGAATAAGCTAGAAGAGGATGGCACCAGTCCTGGAGCTGTGTCCTTCAAGAGAATACGCAGAGTGGAGGAGAGGGACGTGACTCAGCTTTGTACAAGTGTCCTATGCCCACCTGCTCCCCTGCCTGGCCTTTCTTGCCTTAGTCATGCATTGGTTTCTTATTGCTGTTTTAGTAAATTGTCATCAACTAGGGGCTTAAATGGCATGAAGTTATCCTTAACTCGTGAGGTCATTCATCTGAAAGGAGTCTTACAGGCTAATGTCAAGGTGTGGTAGGGCTGTTTCCTTTGAGGTGCTAGAGGGAGACCTGGGCCTTCTTTCCCCACTTCTAGAGGCCACTGCACTCCTGGACTCATGGCCCCTTCTTCTATTTTCAAAGCCAGCAGGGGTGCATCCTCCCGTCTCTGTCTGTTTTGCACCTCTGCTTCTATGGTCACGTCTCATTCTGACCATCCTGCCACCCCGGTAAGGACCCTATGATCACATTGGGCCCACCTCACTTGTGCAGCATAATCTGTCCACCTCAAGATCTCTGACTTAGCTGGACATGGTGGCACACAACAACTTTAATCTCAAAATTCTGGGAGGCTGAGGCAGGAGGGAGGATTGCAAATTTGAGCCCAGCCTGGGCAACTTAGCAACTGAGAGAGACTCTGTGTCAAAAAACAAACAACTTTGATTAAATTGTATCTGCAAAGATCCTTCTGCTGGGGAGGGTGATAGAGTCACTGGGGCTGGGGACTTGGAGGTGAGTATCTTTTGGGGGCCAAGCTTCTGCCCACCACAGCCTGGGCCCCATCCTGCCAGCCCAGACTGCTGTAGCAGCCTCCTAGCAAGGCATGCCTGGCCTCCTGCCACCGTGTCCATGCCCATTCTTCCCAGGATGCTCAGGTCCACCTTTCCGGAAAACATTGGATCGCTTCCTGGTTTAACTTCCTTCCAGGGCTCCCCCATGACCAGGTAAGGTGCCAACTCCACAGCATGCCGGAGCTCAAGGCTTCCAGTCCTTGCTTCACTTTCTGTTGGCTCTGTGACCCTCGGAAGGGCTTTACACCCTCGGAGCCTCTGTTTCTGTAGCAAAAGCTGTGATACCCAGGTGTCCTGTGGGACTAAAGGACTCTGTCTCCCAGCTGCTGGGAGAGATGCTGGCTGTATACATCACTCAGCTTCCGGTCACTTTGGAAAATTTCTTGGCTGGTCTTTTGGGTTGAATTATGTCCCCTAAGAAAGATACATGAAAGTTCTGACCCCCAAGGAAGTGTGAATTTACCTGAAAACAGGGCCAGTTCAGACATGATTGGCTAAGAAGAGGTCACACTGAGTAGGATGGGCCCCACTCCAGTAGAACTGGCGTCCTCATGGGAAGATGGCCCTGTGCAGACTCGAATGCCAGGGAGAGGCCAAAATCTAAGTGATGAATCAACTGCAGGAATTACAGACACATGACTGTCACTGCAGCTGGGAGAGGGACACAGGGGAGATCCTTCCTCAGAGCCTTCAGGAGAAGCCAACCCGGAAGTACCTGGATTTCAGACTTCTGGTCCCCACAAGAAAGAAAGCTTCTCTGTGGTTTGACCACCTGACTTGTGACACGTTGTTGGGACAGCCCGAGGCAGGGAATCGGCGAGGAGGGTCACACGGTTCATAACACCCTCTGGCAGTGGCCTGTAGCCCACAACCGGTCCTAGGCATGGAGGGGCAGGCATGAGGCCTGGACCCCTGCCCTGGCCCAGGACCCCTCTCAGGGCCACCTTAGCTCCTTCCAGAACCACGGCCAGCACCTCTGCCTCCTTCTCCTCCCTCCACAGATATGGTCCCAAGACCCCACCCCTGCCGCCTGGAGCCTCCTGCCTGCGTGTGGCCATCAGACTCTGCTTCCCTTCCGGGTCGCAGCCTGGAACCATCCTTCTGTCTGACCAGAGCTTCCTCAGACTCAGTTTCCTCACTGGCCAAACAGGACTAAGAGAAGGGCTGCTCACAGGCAGTTAAGGAAAACCAAGGACAGAGCACTACAAGTTTGAATGTGCTTTGCTCCACGCTGGGCATTACAAGATCGAATGAGCTTTGCTCCATGCTGGCCTCTGAGCACAGTGCCAGTCAAACGCTGCTGTGACGCTTGCCCTGCATGATCCCTGCCCCTATACCATGGACCTCCCCAGGTCAGCACCATGTCAGCTTTCATTCATTTCTTCATTCACTTACTTCACCCCAACTCTTCCCATTCACTCATCCCCTCCATTCAGTATTTCTCCTTCCTTCACGCAGCTTTGTGGTGTTCGTTGACTCTAGTCCATGGGTTTGATTTCATTATTTTATCCATTCATTCTGGTTCATTTTGCGTCATTGTATGCCTCCTTTTTTCCTTTTCACTCCATTCATTGCCCGTATTCCACTTATTCAGGCATTTATTCCATGTCACCTTTTCACTGTGTGAAAGCCCTATCTTCAGTTCTGCATGCTATGGTGTGCCAGACACTAAGGCTCAGCACTGGGTTACTGCAGGTTGCAGTCACTAACCTGGAGGGTGTGGCAGCACCTGGCTTCCACAGCCAACTGTGTGTGCAATTCGTGTGTGTCCATGTGTGTGCTTGCATGCATGTGTGCACATTCATTCTCATGTGTGTACGCATGCATGCTGCTTTCCCAGGATGGGGAGGAGCCGCACTGTCCTTGCCTCTTTCTCAGTTCCTGCTGTGCCAGGGGAAACCGTGTTTTACAGGGCGCAGGTCAGGTGTGGATCCGATTGGAGTCTTGAACTCCCTGGAGAGGGGCAAGCATGATTTGTCAAGGTTCCCCCAAAGCAAAGAAAGAATTCTGCAGAGTCTTGGAAGTCATTCTATTGTTCTTGGTAAGTCAAATGCTTCTCCTAATCCCAGCTCAATAGCACAGTTAATCATTTTATAGATGCAAATTGTATCATTTACAGAAAAATGGGAGCATGTAAGACAGCATGATACCAGTCCCAGTTAATATCTTGGTGTGTGCTTTTCCACACTTTTCTATGCACACATATGCATAAAAATGTAGGAGCTTTTGCAAATATTGGAATATGCTACTTGTTCTGTTTTAATTCACTTTTTTATCACTTGGGAATACACTATGAACATTTCCTCAAGTCAGTCAAGCTCCATTTTCATACGGGCATAGAATTCCAGCATCCGCCCACGTATAACTCAGTAACCAGTTCCTCACCCTCCCGTGTGTCCTCCTCCCATGATTTATGATTACAGCATATGCAACACGCCGATGTCCATCCTTAAGAGTGGCCATCTCTGCTACTTCCCTTAGCAAATCAGGTGAAGACAATAGATATAAATCAGGCCACCACAATTTTCATTTTAATAAGACAGGAAGTAAATTGACCAGGCCATTTAGCATTCAGACAATAATACTCTGTTTAATTTTAATTCTGGACTTCGTTCCTTGTAGCATCGGGCTGCTTCCAGCAGGGGGTGTCTTGGGCCAGCCCCGAGTCTGTCTTGGATGCTGCTGGGGCCTCATGATTTGAGGGGGGGTTTCCGTCCCCCCTGGGTATCACCTGGTGCCTTTGCTTTCTCAGTGTTGGTTGGCAACTCCACCCCCACACACACCCCCTACCCGTTCCTGTCTTTTCCCATTAATTCACTTGAGCTCACTCACTCTCCTCCACCCTGGGCTTTTCTAGACCTTAATCAGTTGCTGCTGGCTGGCAGAGGAGCAGGGTGACAGCAAAAGAGGGGAGAAGCAGGGACTCACAGTCCCCCGTGAGGAAGAGCTGGTTGGTTTCATCAATGCATGGTTTATTCATTTGTGCGTTTTTGTTTGTTTTGTGCAGAGAAATCTTTGCTTGCCAAGGCGATTCCTTATGACTCCATCCTGGTACCAGGATGATAGAAGGCATTGATCTCCATCTGGGAGCTCAGCCAGGCAGGGGACACGGGGGTGTCATGCTCAGCCCTGCAGTGAGCATCATGGGGCCCCCAAGATCCACCCCAGCTGTGGGGGGGGCACCCTAGAGAGGACGCAGAGACCCAGCCCCACTGTCCCCTCCCGACTGAAGCAGAGCCAGGGAGGAGAGGAGAAAAGATCATCAAAATCCAGCTACCTCAGAGGCTGTGTTTTATTGCCAAGCATGACTCCAGAAAATTATGAAAGTTTCCGGCTGTATCCAGAAGTGGGAAGAAACCAAGGAAGTTTCCTTATGTGAATAAGGAACAGTGCTGAAAGCCAGCTGCCCAGTGCCCGCTCAGCAGGGTCCTGGCCCGGTGGTGAGTGGTAGCGTCGGGTTCTCATGGGCCCACATGACCATTCAGCAGCTGGGTGACCTTAAGCCCATCAGGTAACTCATCCAAGCCTTAGTCCAGCCATCTGGGGAATGGGTCAGGAACAGTCCCTGCTTCATAGATTCTCATGAACCTCAAGTAAGAATGTGAATAACTTGACTCGCTCACAGTAAGACAGTATAAGCATTATTGCTGTCATTTTAAAAACCTGAGACTGGGCCAGGGATTTAGTTCAGTGGTTCCGCCGCCTGCCTTGCAAGTGGAAGGTCCCGAGTTCGATGCCCAGTACCAAAATAAATAAATAAATAAAACCTGAGATGAGTTGCTATATTCTCGTTATCATCATGTCCTATGTCCAAGCCACCCCCACCCCTACAGAGGGTGAGCAGGTAAAGCCATCAGGGTTCAGAGCTGTGAGCCAGGTCTCTGTCATCATTTCCCATCTCTAGAAGCGTTTAGGGTCCCGGCTGCCCTCTGGCTGATTGGCTGGCACGAGATCTTTCTCAGCTTTTTATTCCTCCAATGTCCTTTGTGACGACACAGGATCACATTACTATATTTAACACAAGCCCTAGCTAGGTGCCGTGTTCCAAGCAAAGTGTTGTTCATGGATTTGGCTTTTAATTTGCACAGCATCTGATGAGGCAGGGGCCACATAACTGCTGCAGACAAAGCAGAAACTGAGGTGAGTGAAAAGGGAGTTCAAATGGAATCCACCCAAATCCTACTCTCGGGAGCATTTGCAACGTGTGAGACAAACCTACCCATGGCAGGTTCTGTGCATGCAGTGTGGCGTCTGCTTGCTAACCTCTCCGGGTGGCACGGTGGCCCCCACGGGGATGGAGCACTGTCGCCTGTCATTGGTGATGGAAAACCTTCTGTGCGGCCTCTCCCTGTATCTGTTTGGATTTATTTTATTTTATTTTTGCTGTACTGGGCGTTGATACCAGGGCCTTTATACTGAGCTAATTCCTAGATCTTTTATTATTATTATTATTATTATTATTATTATTATTATTATTATTTATGTGTAGACAGGGTCTTGCTAAGTCACTAAGTTCCCCAGACTGGCCTTGAACTTGTGACCTTCTTGCTTCGGCCTCCCAGAGTGCTGTTTGTGTTTATTAATGAGTTGGGAGTGCTTTGCTCTTCTGGCTGAAAGTAGAGGGCTGAGAGTATTGGGGAGAAAAAGCTGCCCTGGGAAGAAAAAGAGCCTGAGGAGTCTGGGGTGGTTGGGGAGGGACAGGCGGGCCTGACCCCCATGTGGCTTGGAGCCCAGGGAAGAAATGGGCCTTCCAGGAACCACACACCAAGCAAGGACTAGGTGTTTTCCTGAGCACTCTGAAACTCCAGGCTCGTGCTCTGGGACTCAGGTGACAAAATATGGCCAAAAGTCAGGAAGCCCAAACTTCGACACCTACACAGGCCAAGTAGCCTAGGGATTCTGGTTTTGTACCTAGAGGCCCTCCAAGAGCCTCACTGGACCGTAGGCAAGGCTTTTGGAAGGTGGCTGGCTATGGGGGCTCAGAGCCAGCTTCTTGTTGGGAAGGGCAGTCAGGACAGGAGACCTGGTCACTGGGGCGTGGCCTGGATGCGTGCGTCTCCGTCCCGGGCTCCTGCCTGCACTCTCTGCTTCCCGTCAGCCACCCTGAGCAGCTCTCCTCGGCAGGTCCCTGCGTCACGCTGTCCTGCTTGGAGCCAGCAGACCACGGACTGAGACATGAGCCAGTAAAGCTCTTCTCCCTTTAAGTTCTGGGTGTTGGGAATTTTGTTTCAGTAGTGAGGGAAGTAACTATGACACCAGGTTTTTGGGTAACAGTTTTATGGAAGGAGAATCCACACCCCACAGAATACACCTTTAAAATGCATAATTCTACAGGCTTCAGCGTATTCAGCCGTCACTATAATCAAACCTAGAACATTTTCACAATCTTACCCCAAAGCCCCAGCAGTAACTTGTCATTCCCCACCCCCCAGCAAGTCCTCCTCCAGCCTCCAGTGCCAGGCCCCATTGAGCCCCAAGTCTAGCCTCCTGTTCCGGAGGATTCTGAACAGATGTGAGCCTGGAGTGAGGCAGGGACCGGCTGAGATTTCATGACAAGGCAGCTTGATGCTGCGCCATAAATACACTGCTGACATGAGGCCTGTGGGGTGCCAGGTGCATTGTGAAGCCAGCAAGCCGGCTTTACCTCAGGCCCTTTGCACCTGCTGTACCCCTGCCTGGAATGGGCTGTCACCTCTCCATGCAGGCAACTCCTTTTCACAGCTCCAATTGTGACTGGGATGTCTTCCAGCTCCTTCTGGTGACTCCAGATCTGGGTTCCAGCAATATCACCCTCACCCATCTGTCCCTTTGCCTGGGGTGGGCAGCAGCTTCTCACCACTGTTTGTTTCTGGATCACCACACTGTCCATCGCTTGGTTTCTCAGTTCTTTTATGACTTTTGTGACCAATTCTTTGCATCAATTTCCTCTTTAAATGCTTCCATTTTCCTGACTGATACAAAACTTGTGCCTTTGTCTTAACAGAATGACAAACTAAAAGAGAAGCTGATAGATGCCAGTTTTTGAGGTATAGGGAGGCTGTGGGAGGCCTGAGCAGTGGGCTGTCACTGTCACCCTTGTGCTTGTCGCTCTGTGATCTATCACAGGATAACTTGTTTTCGCCCAGTGGTAGCTTCTTGTGCACCAGGTGCTAAATAATCAGGCCCAAGGAGTCTTCATTTCTCCTTCCTTTTTCTAAACTCCTGCCAATCTCATGCGTTGTCCAAGGCAAATCTCCACGTGTCCTGCTGTTCCCGTGGCTCACTCCAAGCCACAGTCCTGAGTTACTGGCCTCCAGGAAGGAAGCAGGAAGCAAGAAGGATGGTGTCACTTGGGATGTACCCACCTGGCACTCAGTAGCAAAAGACCCCAACTCAGCGGCCTCATCCCTAAGGAAGATTAGTTGGTCCCATGGAACAAGAAGTCCAGATGGCTCTGGGATAAACTAAATTCAATAATGTCACCAAGGCAAGGACCCGAGTTTGATCCCTGGTACCAAAAAATAATAATAATAATAATGTCACCAAGGACTCAGAGACCCCTTCCCCTTCCACCAAACACTGTCATTTCAGTGTTGTCCTCACCTGTGACTGGCTGACCTCATGTTCACAAGGTAGCTGCTGCAGATCCTGGCATAGGTAAAGTCTGGACACACAAAGGAATCATCGTTTTCCTGCATCTATTAGGTTCAAGGGCCACTTTTCCAAAAGCCGCTGGGCCATTTCATTGGCCCAAATCAGATGACAGACACATTTCTGAACCAGTCACCAACAAGAGGAGGTGGGACAACACAATTGCCTTAGGCCAATCCCTCAATGGTTAGGACTGTTGGGCAATCATCTGCCCCACCACTAGGGGGCCCCCTCTGCAACCTTGGCTGGCTGCTCTGGTCTCCATCTCCACCTCCCATCTCTGGCTATGGTGAGAGCCTTGTGGGCTTACAGCCAGCAGGGGCTGGGGCTGAGGGCAGGTGTCCCTGCTGGAAGCTCTCCCACCACACCTCCCTTTGATTTGTTGACCACCATACTCCCCCTGATTTGTTGGACTTCTCGGCTGCAGGCTTAGAAGTCACCCTGGACACTTTTCCTCACCACCTTGACCAAAAGGAGTCCTGTAGCAAGTCCCGGCCCAGCAAGAGCAGGCTGTAAATGGCACCTGCTTCTTGTTTCCCATAATTTGGCTATATTGTTTTATATGAGAAACCAGACCAAAGCCCTACATGACTTAAATAGGCTGTCAGACAGAAGACTGGGTGAGTATAGCTCCTCCCCGAGTGGCTGCCACGGAGGCCTAAGTCCTGGTCTGTGAAGTGGCAGGGCTCTGCTGAGTTAACATGCAGCTGAGGTCAGTGTGACTCCAATTAAAATCCTTTCCCCTCAATTATGGCTTCTCACTGACCTGATGAGTTGCTGGTTAATTGCAACCCAGTCCCAGTACCGGTTTGTTCTCTCCAAGTAAGATAAACAGTGTTAATCCAGCCCGCGCCAGCCAGGCACAACCCTGGATGTCGGGGAGGGGTCCCTGGTCGCAGGGAACCCACCCCATCCAGCCCGCGCCCCAGGCAGCGATCCACTTAGCCCCGTGGGTGCCTGCAGGACCCCCCCCCCGCCCCAACACACACACAGCTCGCTTCTCTGGCCTCTTGGCTGTACTGCCACCTGGTTCCACATTACAAAGACACAGGGGACACTGGACCACCAGACCGCAGTACTGGGTAAGTTGGAGGCATCATCACCTCCCATCAGAATCGGGACTATCTTCAGGGGAAGGGCAGCTGGAACCTGCAGTACAGCCCTGCAGAGTTCAACCCTACAGGAGGACAGGGAGCTCAACTTGGGACTTGCAGCTAGAAATCTGCCTGAATCTCACGGGTCTGCGACTGGCTTGCTGGGACTCATTGACTTATATCTGCACGCGGCTGCCCACGTTGTCTACTGTGACAGCAGAGACA